ATTGATGACATTTGGGATTCAGACTCGACATTGGACAGAGACATTGTGGGGGACTCTTCGGGATTGATATCAGCAACATTTGGGTTGACGACATTCTCATCTCCTCCCCCCTCTTCTTCGTCTCTTCCTCCTCCTCCTCATCTGTGTATGAGCTGGGCCTGGCACCTTCGTCCTTGTGTGTGGTGCCAGGCCATTCACACCGTGTGATGATGATGATGTATGTCCAGTCTGCATTTCGACATTGATTGGGTCTGGTCATTGGTATTCCAGTCTTCCGCTGTGCTATCTTGCTCTATCTGTGAGAGGTTGGTTCTTGGTTCTGGTCTGTACCATCTTGGTATGCGACAGAAGCCATATTTAAGGGGAAACCATGGTCTCAGACATTGCCAAGCATTGACGGCAGCCTATGGAAGATCAACATGTCTTCAGGTAGACACCCTGGGACCAATCGTCAAACTAGCCAGACAAACAAGCTCTGTCAACAGATTTCAAGGATGTACCTTAGTATTGGGATGTGAACCGACCAAAACATAGGAAGTGCATACAACAGCAGTTCATACTCTCACAGGGTGGACACCTAATGCACTGGATAAAGGATGGCAACCTAAGACGATTATTACACTCCCCGATTCCAATGAGATGCAAAGGTTACCAGACAATTCCAGATTGCTTAGGAAGAAGATATCAGGGAGGTGCAAGAAAACATTCAGAAACATCAACACCATATGATTACACTACCATATAAGCACCAAAGTCTCCGATTTTTGCACATTTTGAAAGTTTCTTCGGACTTTACACATGTAGCACGCTGCATGGAACAGAGCAGAGAAGTACATATTGTGCTGTGCACTTGTGCATGTCAAGTGCACATTGTGCACTATAATCACTACCGTAACTGCAAAGCCTCAATTGGCAACCGATATTTACAATCCCATCTGCTGTAGGAAGGTCCAAAAGTAAGGCCATTTCAACTCACAAAGTGCTCGCTGTGCTGTCCACCTTGCCTTTGGGTCACTGTTCAGCATCTTCCTTATCAGATCCTTGGCGCTCTCTGAGATGCTGGGCCATGGCTGTGATGAGAAGTCAATCTCGCCTTTTAACACTGCATCAAAGATACCCTGCTCCGTCTCTGTGAATCACGTCAAGTGGTCCAAAGAAGATGACAGGCATAAAAGGAGGAGATGTAGATGGAAAGGGCGGGGGAAAGGGGGCTCGGAGTGGAGGGGGGAAGAGGGAGAGCAGTTCCATCAAGGGTGTTGTAGAGAGGGAGGGGAGACAGGGCGAAGGGTGGCAGATAGGACACAGCCAAGGCACGAGGAGGAGAAGGCGTCGATGGTTGAGGGCAAGGAAGGAAGATAGGGAGAATAGGAGAGAAGAAGGATAACGGGGAAGGAAAGAGGCAGGGAAGGGCAGAGGGAGACAGGAGATGAAGGACAAATGCAAGGGAAGGACCAGGAAGTGGGTCTAGTAGGAGCAAGGAGAGGAGTTGGACTGGGTGGGAGGAAAGGAGCACGGGGGGCAAGAGGAAGGGCGGCAAGCAGGAGGGAAGGGGAGCAAGAGGAGGAAGGAGGAGGAAGAGGAGGGGGGGGGGGGGGGGGGGGGNGGGGAGAGCAAGTGAACAGAAGAGGAAGAGGGGGTAGGGCAAGGAGGAGAAAGAGGGGCCGTGGGGAAAGGAGCAAGGGAAGGGGCAGAAGAAGGGGAGCCAGGGATGAGCAGAAAAGTGAGGCAAGGACTGGTAGGAACAACACTTGGAAAGGGGGGAGAGTGAAGAGGAAGGGGTGCATGAACGAGGAGAAAGTGGAGCAAACAAGGAAGTGGCAAAGAGAGGATCAAGGGGCTGACAGGGCAAGGAGGACGCGGCAAAGAGAGGATCGGGGAACTGAGGCGGCAGGGATCAAGGCAGCAAGGAAGATACGAGAAGCAAAAGGAAAGGAAGGAAAGGGAAGGGAAAGGAAGTAAGAAGGAGAACAAGAAGACGAGCCGTCGAAGGAAAATAAGGGAGGAACAATGGGAGGAAGAGCTGGAGGGTGCAAGGTCAGAGGGACGAGAGGGACGGAGGGAGGGAAGGTGTGAGAGGGGGGTGGGAAGGAAGTGGGGAGGACAAGATGGAAGGGAAACTAGAAGAAGAAGAGGAGTAGGAGAAAGAGAAGCAGGGCAGAAGGGACGGAGGGATGAAAGGAAAAGAGGTGGAAAGGTAGATGGTACTCAGGGAGTGGTGAAGGCAAAGGAAGGGAGCGAGGGGAAGTAGGAAAATGACAGGTGGTCCAAATAAGCAAGCAAACAAACAAACATATGAAAGCGGATGATTAATGACAATGCAAGTGAACGAAGGCGGGAAGGACAATCCGGGTCACCAGATAGGGGACTACTTCATTGGTCAGCATTCAAGGGCAGTGATAAGGAACAGAACTCTAAGTTCGCTAACGATATGCCTCATATTCCTGTCACGACATAGCCACTCTGTGCAATGTCAAATCTCTCGTGTGTGAAAATAAGTGCTTTATGACTCCTTCGGGACATTAGTTAAAATTGAAATGATACAGAGAACATTAGCATGGCCCCTGCACAAGTATGACACACCGAAATCAAGAACTGAACCCCAGCCCAATCCTGCCTTCGCCATACTTGTACGTAAAGTAAAAAAAATAATAATATTAATAATTTCTATGATACTAGTTTATTCCATGCTGCAAAATTCAAATTTGAAGCATAGACATGAATACAAGAAACAACAGATTCAGGACGGAATATGGGAAGGAAAGAATGTAAAACACTGAGGTCAATAATCCAACACCTCGTCAAGTCACCCTCTTACTCCTATCCTACTATTTGTTCCGTACATGATCAAACCAATCATCCTTGTCCAAAAGATCACCCTATCATTTTACGTCAAGACATCTCAATCAAATGCACAAGACCTGCCGCATTGGGCTGAGAGGTTCTTCTAGTGGGTGACCCCATAGTCGATTGGCCTTAATTTTGGCCTTGGCATGGCCAAGAGGCCGCCAGTCCACGTAATAGGGTCAAGGATGGCATCCATGTGCATTGTCAACTTCCTTGTTATTGTCTTCTTTTCCTTTTGCGGTCTGTTCTGCATTTCTTTTTGCTGATAGTGCCTCTTTGAATTATTCTTGTTTGAAAAGGCACATGATTTGTCCATTCACACAGAAGTCACAGTTCAAACCACTGGAGAAATGTCTTTCCAAAGATTTGGCCGTCAAAGCCCAAGTTCACTTTCGGGTGGCACTTTGCTTGAGCCATTTTTTTGTCCTGTGAGCATTCAGGACGTTCTTCAGTTACGCCACATCCATTGTCCGGCCTAGGTAGTGCTGCTGATGCAGCATGCCATTTGGACACACGTTCTAGATCCAGGCAACACGTTCACGACTTTGGCAGCAAGACCATGCACATAGCCTCTCATCCAACACATCGGATCATGGTGTTGAGCACACCGCTCCACAAATTGAAGCAAACAATAGAGCCTGCTTGGCCGAGTCCCACAAGAGAATAAAATGTCACAGCCAAAGCGAATTCCCTTTACATCAAGAGACAGACTCGTGTTGAAGAAGGGTTCCCCGCTCTCACCGTGCGCCGGGTGTGCTCTGATCTTTCCCTACTAAAAGTCTGTCTGTACTTTTTCCTTTGGTCCAAGGAATCCAACCGGCAAGCTGTAGCTTAACAACCGGATGCCTTGACCTACACAACCATGATGTGGTGTTGAAAAGTGAAAGCATATCGCTAATAATATCCACCCCAAAACCCTCCTACACAGCCTGTGGCCCTTGCACGCGTAGCAAGTTCATCTAGGTACGATTTCCCGACTAGTTACTGTGCTGCACAGTGCAATTTGCACGATGCATGTGCACTTAGCGCGCCACGTCACAGAAAACAGTTGTCCCACAAAGAAAAAACAGGGCAAGGGGGCGTGGAACCCCTCTCCCTTGGGTGTAAAATGTCAAAGTTGGCACAAAAAAAATGTTTTCGGCACCTTGCAATGCCCCGATAAAATTTCAGGATCCCACTTCAAATTCAAACTTGCAGGTGGAATTCTATGTAGGCTACGAGGTATTTCAAGCACACTCGTTCCCCCAATGTCCCATAGTTCTTCATTACATCACCGTCATTGTGCCATTGTGGTCACCTTCCTCCAGAGCATCTTCATTGCCATCATCCAGCCATCTTCGTTAAGCGTCGTGGCCATCGCCATCATGTTGTTAGCAGTGGGAGACATATAGACGCTAGGAGCATCGCGGGGAAACATCTCAGCATCCGATCTGGCGACCCAACGAGGCAGTAGACGACGAAGAGACAGCAGGATCATCACACAGGAGCGGCTTGGTGGCAGGGAGAGAGGAGGGTACTCTCTCTCTCTCTCTCTCTCTCTCTCTCTCTCTCTCTCTCTCTCTCTCTCTCTCTCTCTCTCTCTCTCCCTCCCTCTCCCCTAGTGTGATCCGACTTTGTGCACATCTGCCTCCCTCCTCCACAACATCCCCTACACGCCACATCTACCCGTGTTGCACCACATGTCTCCTCATCCATCCTGCATGTCCACACCTCCACTTCACGAAGTCCCCCAAAGCGCACTCTATTTCACACCATGTCTATCCCTGCTTCGTGCTACCTGTATCCTCCTGTTTCCTCCATGTCGACCTCGCTCACCTCTACCTTATGTCCTCTCCATCCCCATCCAAATCCAATCCCTCCATTCCCATCCAAATCCAATCCCTCCCATCCCATCCCATCCCATCCCATCCCATCCCTCCCATCCATCCATTCCATTCCATCCCATCCATCCCATCCCATCTAATGCATCCCATCCACCCCATCCACCCCATCCATACCATGCATCCCATCCCATCCCATCCCATCCCATCCATCCCATTCAGTACATCATCCCATCCATCCAATCCCGTCCAATTCCCATCCAATCCATCGCAGTCCATTAGGCCTAGGTCTAGGGATACCAGTCCAGTAGTCTGAGTCTAGGGCCTGTAACAGACGATATCTCGCCTGCACTGATGTTTCCCTCGGAAAGGAGGAAGGTACCGGATGCTTGGGAGGTCGAGCGCCCTGGAAAGTCACCGCCCAAGAGGACGCTGCCCGGTATATCAGTCAGTGGAGTCTTGTTGCCCTGAACTCGTCAATTTTTGCAAATCTTGGTCCGCACCAGACAGTTGCCACGTGCCAGTTGGTTACAATCCGCCTTGCTTGTGAGAATCCAAAATATTTGTGAGCCTTCCAGGCTCTTCCAGCAACGTGGTCGAAACAGGGAGCACCGCACGTTTGTGCCTGGGTGGTTGGAAATACCTAACCAATTCGGTCCCAGGCCACTGTCTGAATCGGGCCTGGGCGCAAACACTTCGGCCGAGACTGAAGCTACTGGAAACTCGGTCTCACGTGGGGTAGCAAAGGCAAGTGCCCACCTCTTTCCATATGGGAAAGGACAGGGCGCAGGGCTGGGTAGTCAGGCACTTGCAAGCACATGTGGCAGCGCTGCTGGAGCTAGCGCTCGCAGGGCTGATGCTGCGATAGAGTGCGGGCAAGTGTCCATGTGTGCGTGCAGTCGTGCGACAAGGCAGGGTGCTGCTGTGGGTAGCGCCATAGCCAGCCCCATGTAGCTGGGGCTCGGCTTGGACATAACCAGTGGAGAAGGTGGTGGTCTTCATGTATGAGGGAGAAGATGTGGGTGAGGTTGAGAGAGACAGATGAGATTGATGATGTGAGGGCACGTACCTGGTCTTGGCGATGGTCTACAAGGGTCGACATCTTCATGTACTTCAGTTTTGCTGCTGACGTCAACAGGATGAATTGTAAATTCGTAGGCTGCTAGTAGCTGTGTAGAAGTAGTTTGGGCGCCGAGCGCCAAGCAGGAGGAAGGACTCTGGATACATTGTTGGTGGTGGCGAGAGTATGTTCTCATTGACATTCGGATTCAGTGCTTTGTTTCTCCGTTGGTGGAATATCAGTGCATTACTGATTTCTGGACAGTGTTTGGACTTGCTTGCTTTCAATGTGATTTTGTACTCCGGATTTGTGTCATTTCCCTTTACCTCATTTTCCTTGCAATTTGGTATCGGAGCTGGTTGGAGCCACTCAGCTGGCTCCTTCGCAAAAGCTGTTTGGCGCTTC